TTGTCTAATCCTGCTTACGAACAAACCAACATACAAATGGACAAGGGAGAAAACATCACCTCCTTGTCAGAGGTAAGATATCTTCCTGTAATCAGATCAACCCTCTCAGGAGGTTTGTTGCTCTACTGTTTATTGAACATTATCACCTTTCTCTTCTTCCTAATTCCCTGAGCTGCTGTTAAACGGTTTCAGCATTATCCTCAAATTGTCACTTGCGGTCTCAGAATCCACTGTGCGGTAAACGTTACACCAGGATGAGAGCTTTAAATCTGCAGATGGTCTCGAAGTGATTTTTCTGCTTCTTTTCAATGGAGAAATCAAAACCTTCAAACTCTTCAGGTGTTGGGTTCATCTGCAGACTTTGTTTTAGTGATTGATTTTTATATTTGTTTGTTCCTTACAATGTGCTATGTAAGAGTGATTCTCAAATGGGGGTTGGAGGACCCCAGGGGTTCCATTACACACTGCCAGGGGTCTGTGAAAAGTGTCTGTGTTGACATGTTATAATATTTTCAATACTCAATGTTTGTTATCTTTCCGAGACATTTATCTTATATTGTTCTGTCACATATCCAATTGCTATGTCAAGTTATTCCAATGGACATAAACGAGGGGGTCCCCTGTACATTTTCTATCTTGTGGGGCATCCCTGGCAGTGAAAAAATTGAGAACCTCTGCTTTATAAAATAGGTCTTCATGTTTTATGTGTATCGTCCAGGTTTTTGGTTGACATCAACAGAACAAGACAAAATGCTTCAGTGCTCGTCGCTGGGGAACAGAGTCAGCTGAAGAAAATTTCCTCAGAGGTAAGAAATTTCATTATGTTCATTGAAAATAAATAAAAATAAATTAATGACAAACCCAGAAAACTGATTTGAGGATACAACGACAAAAATCCTGCTGCTTCAAAAGCGTTTCAAAGGTGCGGCATGAAGCATGGATCATTTATGCTAAAACCTTTGCTGTAGGCAGGGATTGTCTCCGTCTCCCATTTTAATACACATTTACATGCTAAAACATAAGAATTAGAATTCATTAGTGTAATCTGAGGTCTAGATCTAGATCGCGAGTTGTTTGATTAGTAGCTTTGGGACATTGTTTTTGTAGTGAGTCTGCCTGTCTCCTACTTTTGTTTTTCCTTATTTGGCATGGCTCTCTGTAATATGTTTGTGCTTGAAGACTAATCTCTGCTATCTCAGCTCTAATTAACAGAGCAGACATAGTTCCCAGACACATTTGTTTTTTGTGTTTTTTTTCTCCTTGCAAAGATCTCTGTGTTGTTTTTGTGCAGAGCACCTGGACTCGCCCGCCCACTGAAGGCATACTACATGACATTACCTACAAATCAACAAAAATATCATTAAAGTCATTTTAGTCTCACATGTCGGGACATAAGCTGCATGTCATCACTGTCATCATCAGCCAACAATTCCTGAAAACTGGGCCCTTTTCAAAGCCAATAGGGCTGCGTTATTAGGATGTCAGTTTGTCGTCTTCTTATTCAGCATGTAGGTGCAAAGCACACACTTTCACTCACACTTTTATGAGGAAGTACTCTTCATCTGTGCAGCTGCTGTGTTCTGCACCGTGTTTGAGGTTCACCTACTTCAGAGGAAGTGGTGTGGGGGAGATGGCAGCGTTACAAGCAGCAAATAAAACAGGATATCCGACGCTGGAACAATTGAAACACTAAAATATGACAAACGAGGTTGTTTTCTCTGACTCTCTCTTCTGTTCTATATTTATTATGTGCAGTTAAAATGAGTAACGTTAAGAGATATGATGGAGTTAGATTAAACATCAAACATGTCTCTAGTGTGAATTATCTGTCGGGGTGGACCCAGTGAGCATATTTCTTTTCATATGCTGTGGTAAAACTGAAAGCCATCATATCAATGACATGCGTCACTACGTTCCCTAACAGCCGAACATCAAAGAGCCCTTGATTTCCTCTAACCGAGCATGTTAATTGGTGCTTGATTGATAACTCGAGTTCACAGGCGATGGCATGTGTCGCCTAAACTGTTCCAGGGTGTCTTTTTGAAATCAGCTTTAAGAGTGGAAGAAGAAGCACTGGCGGGCCCATTAAAAAAAAAAGATTGCCAGTGAACACACTTGCAAATAAGCTGTCACACATTACAAATGAGATTACCTTTCTCAGTGTGCCCCTGGAACTTGGAGATGAGGGGATGCACGGGTACCACACTAAAATAGCTCAAATCGTTTGTTTTTTATCAGCGTGTGCAATCTGCAAGTACTGTTTATGCTTTTCTTCATGCACGGTGGAGGAAAAAAAAGTATATTCACAGCTTGGAGCGCAGAGTAATCAGCTGCAGTAAAGTAAGAATTATCAGAGAAAAGATAGAGCTCAGAGTGAATGACTTTGTTTATACATGGCCTCTAAAAAGAATGACAGAGCTTTAAAGTGTTTTTCTTGTAAATATTTTAATAAAAACAAATTTAATTTTACACATATATATATATCCCATTATTCTTATGGAGATCGTCTTCACAATGTCTGAATGTGTGGGCATGTACAAATTCACAAGGGTATACACTGCCAGTATTATCACAACCATGTGATACAGGCATGAGAACAGAATCAGCAGCAGTTATCATATTTGCATGGAATCACGAGCATGTAAAGTGATAGTCTGGTTTGCATGGCAGTGATAGCTGAGGTCAGGCATAACCCACATGAAGCCAAAGCTTTGTTGTCGAAAACATGAGAAAAGAGAAGTGGCAGAACGACTCCACATTCAGGTGAAGCTGAGTGAAAACAACGACTTCTCACCAACTATACACCGGAACATGTATATTGCTCAAATAAATAGTATTGATGGCATGTTAATGATAGTAGCAATATTTATTTGGAGAAAAAACCTCAACAAAAGTGTTAAAGCTTCACTAGTCAATATTTTTTTATATTAAAAAGTCAAAATTAAGTGTTGGTTTGAAAAACAAAGTCTGCAGATCTCCTCAGCTATTTTAGTTCATTGTTTGGCGTCAGGGCCTGCAGCTTTACTGTTTTGGCTCAGTCACACCTGAATAGACCTTGATAAACTGACTGTACACAACCTGCCCAGTACCAAATGGCAGACAAATAAAGTGAGTGTTGCTGGTGCACACTATGGAGCATTTAGCTGCTCAGAGCTAAAACAAGAGTGAATATTGACTTTCGATCATCATTTGACCGTAAACATGACTCCAAATTAACGCCAATGTCAATTAATGCAGCTTTAAATCTTTCTCATCAGGAAGTTTAAATGCCAGTCACATTTTAAATCACAGTTTAGGGGGCGACCCGGTGACTGGATGTTTAGGGTGAATACCAAAAAGGTGCCATCCGTGGTTTGACCTTCGGCTTGATGTACCATACTGTGAGTCATTATCTCATACTCTCACACCCTGTTTCCTGTCTGTCGTCCTTGTGCTATTTAATAAAGACATAAAATGCCACAAATAATAATAATAATAATGATAATAATACTACTACTACTCATAATAATAACAATACTAAAAGTCACAGTTTGATAATTATCATGTGGGGCACAAATTGTAATATTTTCTTTTAATAAAAAGTGGTAAAGAGAATTACTTAGATCACTTATAAGACAATATATTTCACCAAAAGCCTTTTTACACATTTCTGCTTGAAAAACACAAAAATAAATTACAATGAATGATGGTTCAGTTCTTTGGTTGCTGTAGTTTCATGCTCCTGGTTTTGTGTCTCTAAATTCATTCATGTATTGTACTGTATACTGTAGTTTGTGCAGATTTTAAACCCAACCCATATGGATTTTAGAGGACAGACGATATCAAAGGGTTAGGGGTTAGTTAGTTCACCCAAACATTTTAATTCACTCATTATCTACCCACCACTATGCTGATGGAGGGGCGCGTAAAGTGTTTGACTCAACAAAACAATTTTAGAGTTACAGGGGTAAACAGCATTGCAGCCAAATTTCAACACAATTGAGGTAAATGGTGACCTGTCTTCAAACGCAAGGAAACAACAGAAAAAGAAACGGCCGTAAGCCCCGACATTCAAATACAACGAAACAAGGTAATTTAAACCATGTTTTTAGCCTAAATATCCTTTGTTATCCTCCTCTGGAGCTCGTTTAGGCTACAAACACGGAGGCATGTTATGTTTATTTTCTGTTGTTTCTTTACGTTTGAAGACATGTTCACCATTTACTTCATTTGAAACTCCTAAAGTGTTTTGCAGACTCAAACACTTCACCTACCACTCATCGGCATAGTGGTGAGTAGATAATTAAGTTAATTAAGAATTTTCATTTTTGGGTAATTTATCCGTTTAAGGAGTAAAACTATTCTGATACCAATATCGGCTGATATATACATTTAAAAAATGTGGTATTGTTAACAGCTATGTTGTGATCAAACCCTAATGACAAGAAATGTAATTGAGTCTTCATATTTTACAGTTTAACCATCAACTTCATTATAAATAACTATAAATAAAAAACACACATACAACCAAATACATACAACCTGAATAAAACAAGCTAATAACATGTGTGCACTGTTTGTTTATCTCTTATGCACACTATGGTGTTTTTTGTCCCATCTTTATTCAAGAATGTCATCTCTCATTTTGGTCTTCACTTGTGCTTTGACTTCCTGAGCTTCAGCGTCTTCATGCTGCTTCTGTGATTGTGAAACGCTTGCTCCTGGAATTGTGTGTCAGAATTTCCCAACCAATAGAAAGCCAGGTACTGATGACCAATTCAGTTGTCCTGTCCTCATTGTGGGTGTGTTAGCTTTACATTTTTTTAAGAGTACTGCATGAGCCGTTACCTCAACCGGGTTCATGTATTCCCGGCCTTCACGGCTTTCACCAGCCTCCCATTGGTGTGCTTGAAAAGAAATTGACTCCACTCTCATGGATCTGAGAGTCAGATCTCTGGTCAACATGGAGCTGGGGGTCAACATGGAGCTATTAAACAAGATAATAGATAATAACTTGTATATAATAACAAGATTAAAAGATGTCACCTGTCGGGACTTTAGGGGCTCTATCGTTAATCAATCATTCTCAGGGGGGGCCCTCTCAGCTCAGGGTTCCCCAGGCATAGCCACATACCCCGTTGTTACGGCCCTGCTCTAGAGACATGACACTAAGATATTTCTTCTTCATGTGTGTTAACTGTATCTCATCTGGCAGAGGACCCGTGTTTAATATAACATCACCAGTACTTCTCAACTTATTCCACACTGGCTTCAAAATGGAGAAGTGAGGTCCGGAGTGATTGAGCCTCAGAGAGGAGGCAGCAGCAGCGGCGCTGGGAGGCTGCTGTGGGTCGTGGTGACACCGCTGGCCTGATGCCTTACATGGGCAAACCTCTCCACTCACCGAGGCGGCTGGAATTTCAGAGCGTGACGTCAGCGCCCCGCAACTCTCCCAGAATTTGTTGGATCGCGAAGTTTCACTTTTTTTCGCAGGGATTCGAGCCTCAGTTTCCTGGAGAGCGAGGTAAGCCTCACCGCCGAGCAGCCGCCCGGCGCTCCCCGCGTCCCCCGCGCCCGGTATGTGCCGCTGTGTGAGCGGGCTGCGTGGCGCCCGGAGCTGGGACTCGTGTCCCCGTGTCTGGAGGGAGCAGCTCCACTTTGTTTCGGCCTTGTCGCGCTGTTTGACTCGAGTTCACTGTGAGGGCGTGGACTCAGCACGTTAGCTCAGGCTAAAGTTACAGGCAGCTAACCTGTCGCTAGCCGCAGCCGAGCTGGAAACGTTCAGACATTGTGAAGTTTTAATTTTAGCTTGACGGAACTGTGGGGCGTCTCTCTCTCTCTCTGTGTGTGTGTGTGTGTGTGTGTGGAGCCCGGTGTTGTGGTGCTGAGCAATGCGGAAGACCAGACTGTCACCGGAGAACCGTCCAGCTCCTGTCTGCTCACTAACAAGTCTGATAGTCAGTGTGTCCTGCTAAACAAGCTAACTCACTGTCTGCTGCTTTAATCGAAACACCGTGATTGTTGACGCTTGTTCACCACAGCACAGATCAGCCACGTTGTTTAAGGACTTTTGATCAACTCATGCTAACTCACTCAAACTGTGACTTCTGTGGGTGCGATACTTGACTAATGACAGTAACATGCACTGCACATGTATGCACAGGTTACATGTGTGGCACTGATGTGGAGGGCTGTAACATTGGGCCTTTAATCGGAGGTAAAGCAGTGGAGCAGCTTTACAGTGCAGGCCCACAGTGAGCTCCACTGGAGCCCTGGTGTAGATGACAACCAGGAAACCCTCACTGCATGTGTACGTTGACCTGGCTCCACCCTGACTTCTTTGGTCTGACTCTACAGGTGACTGTAAACGTGTGTAGTGGCTTCAAAATGAAAATTCTCTCATTCTCTCCTCACCACTGTGCTGATGGGTGGGTGAAGTGTTTGAGTCCACACAACACTTCTGGAGTCTCAGGGGTAAACAGCTTTTCAGCCAAATCCAATACAATTGAAGTGAATGGAAAAACAACAAAAAAAACATTCAAATACAGATACGACATTCAAATTCCACTTAAAATAACATCATTTACACCATGTTTTGAGCCTGAAAGTCTGCTACCAGAAGTCGCTGTGCAAACGCACCCCTCGTGCGTGCCCTTGGGCGGGGGCACGTGTGCAGTGTTTGCGTTTTGCACAGTGTACACAGTGTAAATGACGCTATTTTGATTCAAATTTGAATGTTGGGGCTTAAGGACACATGGATGACACAACAGGAGCAGTATGGAGGCATTTTATGTTTTTATTACGTCTGAAGAATCGATCACCATTTACTTTGATTGTATTAGATTTGGCTGCAATGCTGTTTACCCGAGACTCCAAAATTTTCATTTTGCAGTGAACTATCCCTTAAAGCTGTTTTTAGACACACACTGATCTCTAGAGAATCTCTACACTTTCTTCGGAGGGGCTTTATGTGTGAACACAAATGTCTGAGCAAGAGCCCCCGGACTTTCTTCTGAGGTTTTCCGGTCAAACTCGAGAGAATTTCCAAATTAATCGCTGGGAGAAAACAGCAGGAGATCCTCAGCAGAATTAACTGCTCGCGATTGGACGTGTTGTTTACATTTCTAACACATGACAGACACAAAAATAAAAGAAGACAAATATCTCAGGATTAAAAAGTGCTGCTGTACACATTGGAGACACTGACAAAGATGTTAGAGAAAGCTTTTGGGGATAAAGACAGACACCAGTGTCGATGTGCTGAGGTGGTCTGGGCCGCTAGTGTCCACATTCTTTTAGCAGTATGAACGCAAATCTATCCTGGGCCACATATGAAGGACCTCCTTCTCAGATGACGTCATCTGACCCGATACAGTTTCACTTGTTTTTTCTTTTCTTGTAGATTTGTTTGCGACTGCCGCCACTATATCAACACTGATCACCACAAAATGATCCATAGTTTCCGTAAATCTGTAAAAACTTTCTTCGCAGCGGCACAAGACTCAATCTCCTGACTCTCTACCCCTCTTTTGCTCACTCATGCTGACACACAAACACAGTGACATCAGACACACTTGTGTACTCAGACTGGGTAAAAATAACATAACTTGGTAAAACCTCTTATGTACCTGTTGTTTGCATAGAGCAGGGAGGTGAGATCCGGCCTCATTTTAATGTGAACGCACACACTATCCAGATTTGATCGGATCACATAAACAACATTAGTGTAGTGTATTAATATAGTGTGTACGATGCCTCACATTCACACCCTGCCAGCAGTTCAAATGGCTTGGGACCCCCACACTCCTCAGACACAATTAAGCCCCGGCTGTCTCGGCACCAACCACCTGTCCTGGCGGTTCAAACAGCTTCGGACCAGCGGGGTCTTGGCTGTCAGGAAACTCTGGAGACGAGAAGCCGTTACTTCATATGACATTTCTGCTGCAAAAGTATGTGCTGCCACTGGTGTCCTAGACAATCGATATAACGTCGCTTTAGCAAGCTAATTGATATGTTGTGTGTGCTTGGGGGTTAGGTATGGTAGGTGTATCTTAGCCCTGCCCCTAAGGACTGCTTTCTAAAGGCATTTCAAAAATTATTTTAATTCAGTCAATTCAGCCAAAACTTGAGTGAAGTTACACTTTATATAACGTTTTTGAAAATGAAATGTTTAACTATTGGGCTAATTATCAGCCCTGCCATTATTGAGGCATATTTTTTCATTTTCATGTGTTTCATGTGTCAACAAATGCATGTGACCTGTGTCCACCACAAAAAGTTTCCAAAGACAGTTCTGTATCAAGTGACTTTCTTCCTCCTTGACATAATAAGTAAGGTGGGTTTTAGCTCGTCCATGTCTCACATCCTTTATGCTCATAGACATAAATGTCTTAAAAAAGATAGATAGATTTAGCCAAAGTAAATCTCATCCTTTTTAAAGTTATGATGGATTGTTGGACTTTTCAGAGACATTTAGACTATACGGATTTTCCCTGATCTGTCTATATACCAAGCTTTAAAGCTTTAGAGAAATTACACTATACTCCGTCTTCAAGCAGACTACTCATACCTCAAGTTTTCCTCCAAAGCTTTTCGTGTGTCATAGTCACAGATAACTTCGCTGAAAAACTATGGAAACATCTTTGACATTGTTGTCTTCCTCTCTGTGAGAGACAAAATAACCTAGATCCTGACTAAAGATATTGATCTGTTATAAAATGAAGCAAATGAGAAAAATAAGTTGCACTTTCCTCTTTAAAAAGACTAAATTCAAACTTTGACTTAGATGTGAATTTCAAATCAATAACACCAAGGTCCCCCGAGAGTGCCGCCATCAAACTGCATACATCTGCCTTGCTCTAACACATTCTTGACTCAGGCAACATTAAATGGAACTGTCTTTAAAATCTGTGGTTTAAAAGGACTAGTTTGACAGTGCTGATGATGCTGAAGTTAAAAGATGAGTGCCTCAACTGCCTTCAAGCCTGGGGCCCCCTGATAGATTTAGTCAAGTTATTCTCCTGTTTGTGTTTCTTGGTATTTTTTTAATGAGGGCGGCCTTTTCTTAAAAGAGCAGTTTCTCAGGCTCAAAATGCAGTTTTAGATAAGAGGGTGATGTCAGGACACTGGCTTTTAGAGAGTGTCACCGGTGTGATTGTTACTGCAACCAGAAGCTAGTGTGAATCTATACAATACATGGGAAGTGTGGTCTACCAGAAATTAAGCAATGGCCCTCTGTGGTGTTGCGTTTCATGTATTATCATTACATTTGAGTCACATCGCAGAAGCCTCTATGGATGCATGGAATATTTTTTAGTCCAGATGGTTGAAAGAGTTGGTGAGGATCTGAAATATCTTCACAACTGTGAGAGAGTGATGGAGTTGGATGTGTGATGCAGTTCACCCACTGGTCAGTGGAGGGAAGTTAAAATATTGGCTGTTGCTCTTTCAGAACAAAAATTGAAAAATCTATATTATCAGACACCATTAGTGATTTTTCCTTTTCCAAAAAAGAAGCAACCAACTACAGGACAAACCCAGAGACATAAGTTATACCTGTTATACATGACGTTATAAGGATTTTGACAAACTGTAGTTGTTTTCATCAGAAGAGTGTTGACTGTGTACCCCTGCAAGCATGAGGCACATCTCTCTCTGGGTCGTTCTGTTCACTGATGGGCAGAATGCTAATATGATGTGATCATCTCATGAATTTATGAGTAGCTGTATTCCACAACTGATTTCAATTTGGTTCTTAAGGATTTAACCTCATCTTGTTCAAATATCACTGAGTAATTATGCTTTGTTCTGTGAAGCAGAGGAGTTGCAACAGATTAAGCAAAGCAGGCAATTGCCTGGGGCCTCAAAGTGAGGTGTGAAAGGCTGACTACATGAGTCCACAGCAATGATAATTTTGTGAGAAACCCTTAAACTCACTGCTCAGTACAGGAGACTGCAATGACACCATGGTTTGAACCCCCCTAATGAGGCCCCATGCTACTAGCTCTCTGCCAAAGGCTCTGTAATTTTAGAAGTTTGGTTGTGGACTAGAATGTCTAAGTGCGTGTGTATGATGAGGTTTCACATTTATTTATGTGTACGAGCACAGTATGCATTTTGTTTAAACATTTGATAAGTATTTGTTTGAAGATTGGAATGAGGTGGTTTGGTATACGTCTGTCTGGGGGTGGGGTTTGGTTAGGAGTTATGTCCTTGTTGCTTGGGGCCTCACAGTCCCCTGAAAGGCTCCTGCTCAGAGGAACAAAACTGGGGCTAGATAGCACTTTGATTTTATGTAGGCCAGTTTGCCTGGTAAACCCTGGTTCCAATACCGGTATTTGTCATACTGTTGTTTTGTCTCTATTGTTAGTGCGTGATGTCAAAGTCTCTGTCGATGATCTACACATGGTTGCAAATAAAAGGAAAAAACAGAATAGCAAGTAGCCATGGAATATATAGATATCTCCACAATGAATGGTGAATGGTTTGGTCAGTATGAAATGATGTGAACCATATTGGCATATATGGCATTCACAGCGATCAGGTGCATTGAAGATGTTCTGGTGGATCAACAATGGACTAACACCGTAGTAATGCACTTTATGTGGGTTTGCCCTTTAATTTGTCACTGGACTCTTGAATGCAAAAGATGATTCATGTTTCATAATGTTAGTGAAAGAATGCAAAAGTAAATGTGCTTGTGAACAAATAACACGACAAACACAAAGGGCCCAGCATGGACATGTCAGCGCCCGCTCTGCTGTTCCCAGGAAGAGGTGTGACACGTAGTGGGCTGGTTTCTCACAACAGTGCTGCTCACTTTTTGTAAAAAACTGTTGTATAGGACAATTCATTATCCTGCACTATACCTGCATATTTCTGTTACAGCTGAAACATATTCATGAGGGACTTTTCACTTAATGCTTCTATTGAAATTAATGCTATGTGTTAGGAGTTGTTCATTGAACTTACCCTTACCCTCTGCATCTTAAAGTACAGGAGAACATGCAGTGAATTAACATAATGATGCCACTTTTCAGACTCATTCCTCTTGTTTGAACCGCTTTACTTTCAGTAATTACAATGTGAACAACTTGTTTCCTTCCACCAGCCTGCTGTGTACTCTCAGTTTTACAGTTAAAAAATGTGGAAATAAAAATGAGTTTAGTCTTATGTGAGGGCAATTGGTTTGCAGGTTTATTGCACTATATAGCTGCATGCATCATGTTTCTTAAAGCAGGCTTCGCAGTTGCATCAGAAAACACCAACCAGAGTGCTGTCTCAAACAGTTGTGGCAGTGCAGTTCTCAAACTTCCATGCACTTTTACCAGCTCATGAAAGCTACATCTTCATCAGAGTATAGTTCAGATCAGATGAGCAAACAACGTAATAGGACATAATTATTAGATTCAAACATGAGTAATGATCTATTTTGTCTAAAACCACACTAAATATTTACTGCTTAACTAAACTGCACTGAACACACTAATTAGTTTGAGTGTTACTTATTAACTAAATATCCTAAACATTTGCATATTACATCCCTATTTAATATAAGGATTGGCTGGGTCGCTGGCTCATACAATATATGACGGGTATTTTCATGAAAACTTTATTCAGACAAAAGAATAATCAATATTCAAAGCTGTAAACTGTACAGATCATGTTAATGTGTTAAATAGAGCAAAGGAATACAAATATCACAATATCCGTTACTTCTGTATGTGTTAATGTTTTCTGATTCCAGTAATTTAATGATAATGAGCTACAAAAGTGTGTTGATCTTATTTGAATACTAGTGTTATAATATTGTTGATATTCATGAGTGTGTCTATCATGCTAAAACAAAATCTGTAAAGAGATTCAGAAGGTCAAAGTAAAACATTGTCCCTGTGACTTTAACATGGACCTATGTTTCCTGTTTTTGAGAGACACTTTTTCTATCAAAGGTTATTTTGCCCTGTTTGTTCTTTACACTGAATAATTGTCACACTGTGGTGAAATATTTTCTGTGATGTCACTTGTCAGCATTGTTTTCTACGCACTGTCTTTGCAGTGAAGTATTACTCCAACAGTGTGACAGGTGCCCGCTGAAAAATGGCAGACCAAAAATGGACAATTTACACTCAAGTTCATACAGCATTTACAGGAGCCTCCCTCCACAGATAAACAACACAGTCAGCATCCACTAACTGAAACATGTTGACGAGGCCCTGCAGAACTTTTTTGAAGCTATGAACCCACCATTAAACATTAACTAACAGAATAAAAATGCTCCATTCACAGTGTCTGTGACACATAAAAAAAAGACCAATACAACATTTTTAAATAACAAGGGCTTAACTTTAATGTGCATATAGTAGCATAAACAATAGAAGGTGAGGGTTCACACATTATCACTCACCTGCAGCTGCTGTAAACAGACAAACAATGATTGTTTGATTTATGTTTCCTTTGAATGATCTAGCCTGTGGCAGCTACCAAGTCTACTTTGTCCCACTGCAGTCTTTTTTTTATATTGTACAATGTATATATGTGTGTATGTAAATACGGTGTGTATATATATATATATATATATATATATGGGTCTGGCTGATATGGGTCTGGCTGATGTGAGGGGTAACCAGAAGGTTGACAGTTCCATCTCAGTCTTCCCCATCTGCATTGCCCCCCATTGAAAAAAGAGTGCTACCCATAGAAGTACTGTATGAATGTTTGTGTAAATGCCAAAAAAGAACCGTACTGTAAAGCGCTTTGAGTGTTCATCAAGACTAGAATATATATATATATCATGATTAATAATATCCCCATATGTAATCAAACTGAGTTTACTCAGTCTTAATGTCATCATCTTTCTCTCAACAGATTTCAACACACAGTAAGGAGTGTCACTTTTAAAACTCTGCAGAAATCCCAAACGTCCAGAGAGGAGAAAAGGTGAGATAGCTTTGTTGTACTTTCCTGTTATAGTCTTCTTTGTCTGTTTTTGTCCTGCTGTTATGTTGTCAAGTCTGACAGTGGTAGAGTTTATATTTGGAAGGTTGTTCGTTTTAACATCCAGTTTAAGGGCAAAAATATGGACATTTAATTTATTAACTCAGGACCAAGTTAATCCGCAGAAACAAAAACAGAAGCTTGGTGGCAAAAGCAAATATATTTGGTGGTATCCAGCGTGAGTACATGTTAGTAAATTATTGTGTTGCATGGTGTATTTTTCAGTGTGGGTTATTATTAACTTCTGCTCCTCGAGAGCATTTGTGCAGCAGGTATAATATTACCTTAGTGCAAGGCCATATTCAAACTGCAATGCTCAGATCTGATTTTATTGGTCCGATTTGTCACAAGCCTTTTTCAGACATGTCCTGAGGAGAAACTCTGGAGAAGTGGGTCCCGACTTTCTCCTCGGTTTGCCTTTGACACATGCACAAAACAGCAGAAGATTCTCTGCTCAGATGCGTTCACACAAGCACAAATCCTACGCTGGATTCAGGTGAGGGCTGGTGCAGCAGGCAGAGGCAGGACATACCGTTTAAATTCTGCTGTGAAGATCACATGTTTTTGTGTACAGGACAGTGACACCGCCGCTGGCTCTCTTGACGTATTCGTCTGTGTCCTCCACGTGTATGGCAACACTTTACCATCCTAAGATTCGTTCTCTTCTTGATTTTTCCATCTCTGCGTCCATCATGTGTTAGAAGCGTTATCAACCCCTCCCTTCACTCGCTCACAGTGAATCCAGCATCTCCTGCTGTGTTGTCATGTTGGCTCCTCCAGACTTTCTGCGGACTTCATACTAGGGGGCCAGACGGAGAAAGTCAGTAGAAACTCTCACTCAGACATTTGTATTCACGGAGAAACTGCAGAGGATATCAAGAGCTCAGTGTTTTGTAACGTGGCTCACGCAGTATTTTATACCAGCCTGATGAATTTGCCCTGATCTGACCTGCATGACTTGTAACACCTGGGTGCCTCTGCAGACATATCCATGAATCTCCCTCTTCTCATTGGTTTGTTGCATACGTTGTGGTTTTAGCTCATTGTAAATAGCATACCTTGTCCGCAGCTGCTTTTATTTAAATCTCTTATCTCTGTGTTGACGTTGCAGTCACATACTCACCTGGTAATGTTTTTGTGGTTTCTAATATGCTTCCAAATATGCAATGGTGACTTTCATATAAAGTGAAACCGCATTTCCCAAAAAAATATAGCACCTCACTTTTCTTACACCATCGCAGCTGTCTTGTCTAAGCTTCTCTGGAGCACCAGTGCAAATATTTGACTAATGCTAAATTAGAATCAGGAAGAAGTTTCGTGAATTAGGATGAGATTGTCTTACAAATAATAAAATTTGTTCCAGATGTACAAAGATGAGCCAGACTAGAAAAAACTGCAACAGTGATGGAATGTTGGAAAAAAACAGACTGTCTAAATACAAATAAAATATGTGTATGATATATTTATTGTATAATATGTTGATATGTTTATAGAAACAAACACACTGCACCTCTACTTGCTCCATGGGTGGTGCAATGTTCGGTCGCAGCAGCTGTTATGTTACCGTGAACCCTTCTGACCGATGGCACTCACGGGGAGTAATCAGACTTTAATTATACCTTCTTAATCACTTGAGGACAATCTGTGTGACAGGACGGCTCTCACAGTAAATGGACAAGCCTCACCTTCTAATCTGGCCTCTAGAACAAAAATAATGTTCACCATATATCCCTTTTTTTTTTAAACATTTACTCATTCAAGCTCACACATCCTCTCCTTTTGAATTTTTACTCTTTAAAGTGTAGGCTCACAGTGTTATCCCTCTTAGGTCAGACTGAACTCCAAGCGATTGTAAAAAAAAAAGTTCTCTACAATCATCATTATTATTCCTAGTGAAAGGTATGCACCACAGAACTGGCTCTGCCGAGTGACTCTGGCTCACAGCATATGGCATTCCAGGCTGAAAGCAAACCAAACTGATATTGCCCTCAATACTGTCTTCATATTTTCTCCATATTTGGAAATGTTTACCTCCTCATGATGGTTGACAGAGGTTGGAAGAGGGGATGTGAGTCATTTCAGCTGGATAAGGCTTTCTTGGGGTGAGAGGAGCCTTCTAAGTGACTGCCATTTAGTGAAGTTAGTAGTTTACTGTGCTTCAGTGATCTAAAGAGAAACTGTGAGTATCATTTTGTGCTAAATATTTTGTTGTATTCATTTAGTTGTGTGGTAGCATGTGTATGTATACTGTGAGAGAATGTGTTATTTTCAGAATGACTATTTATATTATGTTATATGTGTTAAAAGAAACTGCTAAAATGAGTGATTTGCCAGTGTCTTTTTTGCATTTTTCAAAAACAATGACTGTACTTTTTGCTTGTGGGAAACTTGGTGTCACTGTTCGTCACTGCTTGATTGAACGTTTGAGAGATTTCATTGCTATTTCCTTGCATCAGACACACAATGTTCCTGTGCAAGTATTGAACAAAAGACAGACTTTTGACTGTTCACAAACTCACCAGATATTTTGGGAAGGTCTTTCAAAGGTTGGGACTAACTCAGCATTGCAGTGAGAAATGTTTCTGACCACGAGACTGACCTTGTGTACGAGTATCTGCTGGTAATATAAAGGAGGTTAGAAAAGAAGGTAAGAAGGACCAAAAGCTGTTGTGTCCACACACTCTGAATAGGTATTTCAGGATAGAAATTGTTAAATTGTGCATGTTTGTGCGTGTGTGTGTGAGCTAGCTAGGGGCATCTCAGGCCATTGATGAGTTCTGGTTTTGCAAACATCCACTCACACTGGCTACACCTTTAACAGGTCTGACCTTCCTCCCGGCTCTTACTTTCACACTTCAAACGTTTAGTGGCAGGTTCTTGTCAGTTTTTCTCTTCACAAGTGGAGGAAAGAGGTAAATGATTTAACTTAGCTTTAAGGGCTGATGCTGTTGACTTTACCGATGGTGTGGTGCGATTATCTAATTAATGTTAATCTTTAAATCAAGCCGGGACTGTATTGGCTTTCAGCCTTGGAGCTAGTTTTCCTGTTAGCATCAGTTGTTCTTTTGTTCAGGCCGGTTTATTGAGCCATTTATCTGTTCATGAAATGAACATACAATATATTCAGCCATGATTGACCCTGTAGTTCTCATAGTACTGACCAATTCTCACCCAAAACAGAATGTACATTATGACTGAACAGCAGGAAGACAAAGACTCATTCATGTAACGTAGCGGGAAAGCAACATTAACTGAATGATGAAGACGTGACTCATGTACATTGTGGTCTATGCTGTCAGTTAGTTGGTTCATCAGTTTGGTCATGCACGATTTTATTTGACCTCACAATAATCCGTACCACTGTATTTTGCACAGTCACCTCTGGTCCTGGAAGGTGTTGTAGATTATTATGATTATATTTTTTTCTCAAGTGAATGCAATACACTTCCGTAAATACATAAGGACAAACCTTTGAATTATTTGTGAATATTAATTTACAAACTCAAAATCTTATTGACCCTAATGTGCCTTTCCTTTAATGGGTTAATTATTTCAGATTAGCGATCAACGCTCATCATGCTGGATCTGTTTTGTACACACTGTTAGAGACTATATAATCAACAGTAGGGGTTTACAATTATCTTGAATGAATAGTTACCAATGAACAGGACATTTTATTCAAGTTATCATACTTTTTCATTACAATCATCAAGAAGGAAGTAGTGTTGCTGTCTTAACAAACAGTTCAGTGACGTGTCCAGTTTGATAAGCAGTGACAGACGCTGATCATGGTGTTATATCAGTCTCTGGCCACATCTCCAACACTCTTACAAGACTTAATCCGGTCTCACTCTGCTCTGCTGTCCTTAAATCAAGATGCTGACGTCCCTTAGATTGGGAGTGTGTTTTCAAGACAACCCTTCCAAATGAATCTTGTCAACAAATTAAGGCATGATTAACAAGTGCAATTACACTGAGGATCCAACTGAGCTGAGGAGAATCAAGCTAAAGAAGAAGAGATTATCTTTCTTATTAAGGAGAATCACTTTAAGGGTTTGATTACTTTCTGTTTTTGTGTTTAACTCTTGATTACTCTCTAACTAACAAAGCCTTCTAAACAACTTTTTTTTTTCAAATTGTACCCTTGAGAGTTTTAGAGTGCAGATTGAAGACTGAGATTGTACTTAAACAAAAGCAGTCCAGGTTCTGCTTCTTCTCAGGGCAAAATAACCATCGTGGCACCAACATTTTGAGGACATGAGAATTATCAGAGCTTTGAATACACGTCAGCATCTCCTTGACACGTGAAATTTGGGATTTTTTTCCCAGTCTATATTAATTTTATTCATCTTACCCAGTAAAGCTGTACAAGGTGAGTCAATAAACAACAATCTCAGATGCATTATTTTACAATTTGTTTCAAGGCTTTGGCAGGGCCCATCATCGCAGTGTCAATTTGGCTGCAGTGGCCATTATTATGTTTGAATGTACTGTAAATCATCACCTCAGTTTAAGCTCTTTGGCACTTTAAAGAAGGTTCCTCTCAAGCCTTCATTTATTGTTCCCTTCCCAGCTATAAAAAAAAAAAAGACCCACACCCTCTGCATGATATCATGACCCTCCTTCACGGTTGGGATGTGGTCAGATTTGTGATCTGTTGTCATGTTGTCAGCAGCCTCCACCAGACACTTTATATCATTGCTTAGGAATTAAGTCATTCAGTCATTTCACAAGAATGAAGTATCTTTTGCATTTTATTTCAGGAAAGTTTTCATTCTTGTTGTCGAGCCCAGATTTCTTTCTGGAAAGGTCTACAATCACTGCCAGTAAACTCTGCAGTGAAGACCTGTGGATCTTTCTTGTTATACAATCTCTCAAGTTCAAGTTAGGACGTCTACTCAATTTGTCTCAGTTAGCCTAAATTTACAAGTCTTCTGCAATAA